ATATGTAACTGTGGGTTAGCTTAGTGTACTCGATTCTTAGCCTTGTTATTGTCACTTGTTCTGTTCTTTTTCTGTGGACAACATTTCAGGGATTAGTTATCTCTCTATATGCTTTTAGTTTTTTATCTTTGTCTGCCCGGAGACAATTTTTATTCTATACGTTATTTTATCAGTAATACTTCAATATTAATCAATTTAATGATAATTGTCGTAACAATCCAGGATATCATTACGATTATATCGCCAGACTGAACATTTAGAAAGAATTAAAAACCTTCGGGGAACTGAGGATGATGGAAAAAACCGAGAGGACTGGTTCCGGTGAATAGAGGTTCCTCGACGCTGAGGCAGAAGAGGAAGATATTTTTAACTATTTTAATAAGATATTAAGACTACATTTCACTTAATAACCAATTCGGTTACTCTGGGTGCCGAGCGGGCTAACGCTTGAGGAAAACACGCATTGCTCGGCAACAACCACGAGATAAACCGAAGTTTATTATAGCCGCCCTTCTCCCCAAAAAGTTACCCTACCGGAAAATATTCCCTATAATATACTCTTCAGTCAAAGATCACAAACTCACTCAACTTGTAAAGTTATAACGAACCCACTACTGCACTCTATTAGGCCTATCAAGTTGGTGCAGAAGGAATACAGCTGGAAGTTCTCTTACAAGTTAAGAGTGGAGTTTAGAAGCCAGGCATGGGTAATAATTTCATCATCACTATGGCGATAATAAACAAAGCTTATGAAAACATCTGGAAATATTCTTATTTTTACTATAAATATCATCAGAGTTTTTTCAATACTATTCGAGGTGCGTAAAGTTTCACCAGGAGCTATTATTCCTTCACATTATATTCTTCCTTTACACCCTTTCAAATGGACTGCCATTAGTGTTGCCCAAATTTCGAGACCGAGACGTGTCTCGGTCTTGCAAACTCAGTCTTGGTCAAGGTCTTGGTCTCAAGCAAGAGTCTCGCGACAATCTTGCAGTTACTTATTAGCTTGTTACTATAGAGATATTGCTGTAATTTTTTAGTTTGGAGAAACCTAACTAAGCCCGAATGAATAATTTAGAGGAGTTAAATGCAAAAGTATATTGGTTATACCAATTATTAACAAATCGTAACTAAGATTTTAGAGCATTAGTAACTATTTTACCTTGATTTTTATTTTAAAAAATCGATTTTTTTTACCAGTCCTGGTCTTGGTCTTGCAAACAGATTTTGGACAACATTAACTGTCATAAACAGCAATATTTTAATTTTTAAAAATCAATTAAATAAATTTTCCATAGTAATCGTGAAACTTAGGAAGTATTTGACAAAAATTACGGTTTGTCTATAAATCAGGCCATATTAGGGCTTTATATGCAGTTCTATACAAATATATTTATGTAATTTAAATTCTGTAAATGATAACAAAGAATTTATTTTTACTTCCTCATTACTGAAAGTGTATATATTTTTATCAACATTAAAATAGAAAAAAAAAAGGGATAAAGTTATTATTGTGCAAGATGAAGATTTAACTTTTGATTGTTAGCTCAAATACCATAGGAAATTCAATATTTAGTGTTACAGGGAAAGAATAACGTTCATTGAAGACACTATTTGAAATTTCAGAAGAACGTTTTTCAATTATATACTACTTTATTTATAATATTTTTAAATATTTTTCCGTTTCAAACTTATGACATCATTTTTCAGTGGTTTAACAGCCAACTGTATATGGGTTCTGACTTGCAACGCGGTTGATGATTGTGAGATCGTGTTCAAGGAAATACAACCTCTACAATTAAAGACAGGAATGGAATACAAATGTACCGAGGTGTTAATTTCCGACCGCTCAATACCTATGGGGCGTTAGTGCAAAAAGACTAGGAGTAACTTAAGTTATAATAGCAACTGTTAGGCGATAATTGTACGGCGAAGGTGGAGGATTGAATAACAAGCTGTCAACGTTGATTTTTCGTGACGTGAGGTTGCACAGGGAGTGTTCGTCTATAAGTCATGAAAAGAATTTTTATATATATATATATATATTTTTTTTTTCATAGCCACTTTTTATTTATTTTTGTCTTGAATCCTTGGATTTTCATCGTCTTCAATTATTGTCCTTTTACTGCCTAAAAGCATTGTAAGGTGTATTTTTGATTTTTTTGTCATTTCTGTGTATTTTGTTCATCATCTGTAATATAAAAGGTGATGGGGCTCACATCAGGTAATGGAGATCTCATTGAGTTGACCTTATCCTCTAGAGCTTACAACTAAATTAAAAAAACATCTATCTCATGTGATATGTTACCAATGTTTTGGAATTTTGGCTAATAAGTTGTTGAAAAGAGGATTTGCCAATTGTTGGGATTTTTCGAAAAATTATTGTTTTCGTTTTGCGAAAAATTCTTTTATTGTTGATAAATTTAGTGTTGCTTGTATATCCAATGTCTTCTTTCGCTGCAGCGTGGTTTCTCTTACAATTTTTCTAATTATTCCATTTTGGAAATATTGTAATCTTTTCCCAGTTGTTTCGCTGATATGTTCGAACAGAGGTACACCATACGGCCGTATTATACTTGTATAGACTAGAAGCTTTAGGCGTAAAAACAGATTTGTTGTCCGAATTAAATTTTTTGAGTCTGTACATCGTAAATCTTACTGTTTTATTTATTTTTGTCAAAATGTCTAGTAAATATATAATATAATAGTAAATATATAAAAATATTTTTAAATATCATTTATCAATGGTAGTTTAATGATGTGGGTATAAACATTGGTTGACCCAAGCTTCAATTTAAAATATATATATATATATATATATATATATATATATATATATATATATATATATATATATATATATATATACATATATATATATATTTAAGTTTGTATCTATCTTTACATCTATCCAACTCCCATTTAAAAAAATTTAAAAATGACCATTTTAGAGACTTCGTAAGATAGGCATAATGCGAAAAAATCCTGGCCGAAATTGAGACAAGTATCGGAACCCGGGAACCTTAGCTACAGCTAAAGTATTAAAACAATATTTATGATTTATTTTCATGAATTAACTTGAACATTCCTAAATAAAATCATCAGAAACAGTTTAAGTTGAATATAAAAAGAGAATTTGATAGATGAAATTGGCTCTAATTTCAGAAAATAACAGATTTCCGCGTTTTAAAAGGAGCCACTCATATTTCACCACAAAGAAAGAAAAAAAAAACATTGAAAAAACAAATGAAAATTTGCCAGGCATCAAAGCATATTGACAGAGGACTAAATTCCAGATAAACTTCAGATATATCCTTTAATACCACCGGACCAGGAGAATATATGGAATTCAAGACTTTAACTATGAATAAACTAAGATTTATCAGTCATCAAGTTTCAATGGACTTACAGAAAATTAAAGTAAAAAAACATATTAAATACCTATATAAATTTTAAAATTCATGTGACTAATAAACATTCATCTCTTTACATTTTTACCCACTGCTTGCGAGTTACATAACTTTTGATTTTTTTTTCTGTTGGTTTTACAGGCCTTGTAGATCTATCGCCGCCTTAACAAGCCTACTCCTCTCTGCCAATCTGGGGCTATTTCTTTCCATTTATCTTCATCAAGCTCGATTGCATCTTTGTTGATTCGATCTACCCATTTGATTTCTGGCCTTGGTCTTTTGAGTACTATTGAAGCATTCATTGTCGTGAAGAGACTTCCAGAAGCCTTGCTCCGAGCTACATGCCCCATCAATCTTAACCTCCTTGCCTTCATATCATGAGGTATTGACTGACTAGTTTCTGTAAGCAGCTGTTGGTTGGTCTTTCTACTCCATGTGTTAGTAATCTTATCCCAGATCGCTCCTGGGTAGTGGGTACTGTTGGAATATCACAAACGGACGTTGATACCTAATTATTTAAATATAATATCAGATCAAGAATTATTAAACTACAGTAAATATATTTAAGGTTATAAACATATGCTTTATACATCCATGGAATAATTTTATATTTTAGTTCTTCTTTCACACAAGTAAAATGAAATAGTTTTTTAAACAATGGCATTGACTTGATTAGGTAGATTTTAAATATTTTTTTCAAACTTAAAAATGTTTAAAAAAAGTATATATAGGTAGTAAATTTCATTCAATTTCCTTCAAAAGATGTGATTTAGGTTAAATATTATTAGTTTTCAAAAATTCATTTTCGACCTGGATAAGCATTTTTCTTATTCCTTTCTCCTTTATTCAATAATCAAATTCTTTCCAATATTTTATTTCGCTTTTTTACATAATTCCTAACATGAAAAGATAGTTAATTACTTAAAATAAACCAAATTAACGATACTTTAGAGGAAGACACTTTGAACATTGGACAAATAAGTCCTATTGAGTGACATCAATAGGGATAAGACGTATATGATATTAAAGATTACTTAAGTATACGTTGATAAACCGAGTTTAATCAAAATTGTTACAGTCGTATTCGAGACAATCGTAAAAATATGTTACATCGATGACATAAAGTGACACTTCCGGTTAGCCGATTCTGACAAAAAAGTTTCTGTACCATCTCAGGTATATACAAACCTTAAATATGCAGTTTCACGACTTTTCGTTTTTGAGCTAGGCTGGTAACATACACACTTTTTGCTTGATTATTGACAAACACACTTGGGACTTGATTATTTGGGCTCAGGGAACCTCAAAACGTGTATTCTGGTTGAAAAATACTACGCAATACTATTCTTAGTGCTAGTAGAGTCTGAGCACTATTAGAATCAACATTTAAAATTAATCAGACATTATGTGAAGCATTTAACAACAAAATTTTATATTTGTCTCACTTAAAAGAAAGCTTGAGTGTATATATGAATGATTCTTTGATGAATCATAATAGATGAAAAGTGGGGGGAAGAGACGCCATTGCAATTTGATGCACGGTCGCTTCTTAGATGCATCAGTGACTCGGATGTACTATCATCAATCATGGGCGGCAGTGAAATCAGCAACAGTGAAAAGAAGCGTGTTGTGAAGCTTGTGGACTCCGGTAGGATGACGGTTTCCGAAGCTGCTTACCTCTGCGACAGAGCTCCAAGCACCATCTACAGTTGGAGAAGGCAGATGAGTACTAGTGGCGATTCAAGGGGCAACAGAACTACGAATATTACATACGTAAATATTAACAATTATCATTATCATTGATAACTGAAGTGATTTTATATTTTACACAATTCTCAAGATGGCGGATTGTTCACCTATATAATGTATCACATTTATTGGAATAAATATATTAATCATTTGATTATTTTTTATTAGTATTTTCCTCAAATAATTAACATCTATTTAAAAATATTTTTATTTATGTCATCTAATTGCAGAAAATATTTCCTACTACTACGTTTAATAAATAGTTATATAAAGAAAAAGTACTAGGTAATATGCAGACATGACTTCATTCGACATTAAAAAAATTATAAAGTTTTCGTCACTTAATTGCTTAAAATATGTACCATTGTATTAATAATAATTGTCTTTAAGTTAAATTTTTCTTTTCTAAAGCGATATCTACCCATTGACTTGCATTTATAAAAACAAAAATATGTTTCAAATTGAACTAAGTACAATTTATTTTTATACAATAATTGATGCTTCATTAAATAACAAAAAAAATCTAGTAAAATAAAAAAAAAATTGAAATTAACATGGTTTCCTTATTTCAGTTCACTTTCTGAAAACACACATTTCACCAGGTTTCTGAATTTTGAAGTTTTTACACAAATATGAATAAACTATTTGAATAACAATGAAACATTTTTTAAGTTAAACATTATGTATATACTTCCATGGAACGAAAAGTACTTTTTTCGGCGGATAATTTTCTTCTAATAGCAATCAAAAGTTGCCTTTTTTTGACAAAAAAACAAAAACACTACTAACGTTTATGAAACGCCAATACCAAATTCAACCAAGTATGTGAAAACTGTCATACCATGACAGGAGTAAATGAAGAAATAAAGAGGAAAAACTTGAAATATGCAAATAACTTAAAGTCTTTAATGAAATTATCAAGCTTATTTTTATTTTTATGTCCTGCTAATTATTAAAATATAATGTTTTATGGCCAATTCACTCCTGGGTGCAGCATAAAAGCAATATTTTATTGTCTTTTTCAAATAAATATAATAAAATATGTATACAAATACATATTCTAGTCTTTAATGAAATTATCAAGCTTATTTTTTTTTTTTATGTCCTGCTAATTATTACAATATAATGTTTCAAGGCCAGTTCACTCCTAGGTGCAGCTAGAAAATAATATTTTATTCTCTTGATCAAGTAATGTTCATTTTAATAAAGTTTTTCCCATTTCGATGTCGTTCGAGACCTGATAACATCGAATACATAGCATTATGGGGTCAGTTATTGAATGAGAAAATTCAATGAATATGATTAAAAAAAAAAAAAAAAATGTAGTCAAGGAAGTGAAATAGAATTTTGAAATACTTCTGAACATAATAGAAGCTATAATATTGCGTAATTATACACACTGAAAACTTTTATTTGGGTTAAAATATTACCTGCACCAGTCGATTACATACACTTCTTTCTCTCTTAAGGAATCCTACAGCCACTAAGTCACACCAATTATAAGTCCACACTTAAGCGTTGCCTAAGATGTCTTTAACAAGACGGGCCACCCATGAACAGAGAATAAACTCCGAATCGGTAGCAAAGTTAAGTTATATAACGATGGATCGCTCAGCACAAGTGAGGCTCAAAATTAATAGCGTACAGTTGAACATACGCCTTGCGGGCTTGAAGACCACCTATCGAGATAAACTGCCTTCAAATTTGAAGTCAATATTACATCATTACTAAAATTATTGACAAATTTTATTAAATTATATAAAACATTTCCGTGCTAATTCCTAACATATCGCTACTGTTAGTGCAAAAGGTCTTGTGTAAAAATTGAATGTTTCAGAGAAGAGCATACAAACTGATTATTCATTCATGATTTATTAGTATAATTTCATATTTTATTTCTCTCTGCTATTTTACATAGTAGCAGACGGCTCATTGCAGTTTAATAAAAAAAAATTACTTTTAGCAAATAAAAATAGAAAATATTAACGAAGAGAAGGATGGTTGGGGTGATCAATCAGGTAGATGAGATTTCGAATATAGTTGAATCAACATACCAGTTTTTTCATGGCAATCGATTATATTTATTTCAATTGTACAAAACACGAAACATATCCATAGACATTCAGAAATAAAAAGGCTAAAAATAAATAATAATATTTATTTGAGCATTTGCCGACGTTTCGGCCTGAAGTTTAGGCCTTCATCAGGGCTGAGAAAAGAAACAGATAACAAGGCATGAGAAACAAACAAAGTAATTTAAAAAAATAGAGTAAAATGAAGTGGGCAGAATAATAACAATAACAAAAACTAGGAAATAAATAATAATAAAAATTACAAAGTATGGCCTAATGAAGTAAACATGATCAAAATAATGTGACATAAGTACTAAAATGGTAATCTTAGAATAAAATGTAAAACAGAAAAAAGGAATATGAAGTTATATAAAAAATAAAAATAAATAGTAAAATTAAGATATTGTAAATAGAATAGTTAAATAGAAAAGTGAGATATTGTTTATGTTTCTCATACCTTGTTATCTGGTTCTTTTCTTAGCCCTGAAGAAGGCCTGAACTTCAGGCCGAAACGTCGGAAAATGTTAAAATAGATATTATTTATTTTTTGACTGTTCACCCCAACCACCCTCCTCTTCATTATTCACGACAGTCAACCATCAACCTACAGTTAGAATATATTAACATTTGACCTTTTACATTAACAGTAGTGGTATTGAGAGACATATTAAAGAATTTTTAATTCCAGAAATTAGTCTATTGATATATAGCCCTCGACATTTTGGTAGATGAGATTTCGAATATAGTTGAATCAACATACCAGTTTTTTCATGGCAATCGATTATATTTATTTCAATTGTACAAAACACGAAACATATCCATAGACATTTTAACAATAAGTAAATATTTTTAACACTGTGAAAGTAAGGATATAGTGAGGGTGTCTTATACAAAAACAGAAATAAAGATTCATATTTTTTATTAATATAGATTGATTTAAAAATTAATCAATAATACAGTAAGGAAAGCTAATATATATATACATACATACATATGTATATATACATATTATAATTATATAATTTATATATTATATATATAAAATATAAATATAGATATAAATATATAAATATACATACATATATATATATATATATATATATATATATATATATATATATATAGATTCAATATATATATATACAATATATATATATATATTGAATCATAAGACAAAACGAAAAAAAAAAATTTAAAACTTTATAGGAAAAAATATATAAGTATAAAATAAAAGATATATTATGAATGATAGAAGAAAAACAAATTATGTACGATATTAAAAATCAAATACTTTTAAAAATATGGTGATAATAACAGTAAATAATTCTTAAATTGTTTTTTTGGATAATAAAAATAATTTGAATATTTAGAGAATTGCTGCACATAGAGATGTAATTGTTGCACACAATCTAATCTGTCTTCCTTTTTCTGCTAATGTCACACTTATAACTCACTCCGGATGGTGATATTCTTATCTTTCTTCTTACAAAAACAACAATATATATATATATATATATATATATATATATATATATATATATATATATATATATATATATATATATATATATATATATATATAAATTTCACTCATTATTCTATTCCAATAAATATTAATAAGTAGATAAATAATGGTAAAATATTATACACTAACAAACAATTTTATATTTATTTATAGTTTAACAGCTGTAAAGTCCAACAATTATTTTCATTCGAATTTTTTCAAGAACTATATAGCAGAGTTTCAGCTACAGCAGTTTTACAATAGAGTTCAAGTGGGGTAGCTCTGAGAGTATGACACTGACTTCCAATTTTTCTTTTATTTTCTTTTACTTTTTTCTATATTTATAATTTAAAAGCTGTACAGTCAAACAATTGTTTTCATTAGAATTTTTTGAAGAACTATATAGCAGAGTTTCAGCTACAGCAGTTGTACAACAGAGTTCAAGCGGGTAGCTCTGAGAGTATGGCACTAACTTCCAATGGTTCAAGGTTCAGATTAGAGTTCGGCTGTGGCAATTAATTTATTCAGGTAATTAATATGTAATAGAATACTATTGCATCAGCCGTGGATCGAGCCTGAGATCAGAAGACTCTCCTAGGGCTCACGCAGATTCTATAAAATGAATACTTAATTAAAATGATATTAAGAGGGAAAACCAGGCGGTTGAGAGTGACATCGACCCAATCTCTCTATCCTCTATTCCGGCCCAGAGAAAACCACGTATAGCCTCCAAGGAAAGGGTGGGGGACTAAAAAAGAAAAAGAATTTATTTTCTTTTAGATATTTGACGCGGTCATTATGACCTTTCATAATTCTTTTAAATTGTATTGCGGCCTGCGTTCAAAAGTATGAAACCTTTCCCTTGTAAATATACCCTACAGTAAACCATGTCACCAGACGATGGCAGTGAGTGAAGCGCTGGGATCTCTTAGAGTCTCGTCTTGTCCTCCACATATGAGGGAAAGGGCCATTTTAAATAAGTATGAATTTGTTTTAAAATAAAATATATTTAATGTTGTTCCAAGTTTCATTTTCTTTGAACTACAGGTTTTTTTCTTTTGGTTATAATTTTTCATTTTTTTTGTTATTGTATATGTAGTATGAATGAGTCTTACATAATACTAATACTTGATGCTCTTAAATCAGGAAAAATGTATTAGTTCTTAATAAAAATGATGTAGTTTTTGAGATAAGGTATGGGCCCGACCTTTTTCAAGTGATAAGTAAATCCTGATGCCATAAATTCCTAATCACATAAAAATTAAAATATCTTTATCTATTATTTTCCAAAGTTTCATTTTTGTCTGTACTTCATATCTTCGATGATTCTTTATCAAATACAACGATTGAGCCATCATTTTAAAGATTATCTTCTTTAAAAATAACAGTAACAATTTTTCAAATGTTTTAATCCGTTGTCTCTGCTTTTTATAAAATTATTAACATCCGCTAGAAACTTTGTAAATAACTTCATCTCG